TCCAGTTACAGAACTCACACGAAGCCAGGTACAGGATAAACCCTACAAATGTACAGACTGCGGGAAGTCATTTAACCACAACGCACATCTCACGGTGCATAAGAGGATTCACACGGGAGAACGACCTTATATGTGCAAAGAATGTGGGAAAGCCTTCAGCCAGAACTCCTCCCTGGTTCAGCATGAGCGAATCCACACAGGAGACAAGCCCTATAAGTGTGCCGAGTGTGGGAAGTCTTTCTGCCATAGCACACACCTTACAGTCCACCGGAGAATTCACACTGGAGAGAAACCTTATGAATGTCAGGACTGTGGGCGGGCCTTCAACCAGAATTCATCCCTGGGCCGGCATAAGCGGACACACACTGGAGAGAAGCCATACACGTGTAGCGTGTGTGGGAAATCCTTCTCACGGACCACTTGCCTGTTCCTGCATCTGAGGACACACACAGAGGAGAGGCCCTATGAGTGCAACCACTGTGGGAAGGGCTTCAGACACAGCTCCTCTCTGGCCCAGCATCAGCGGAAGCATGCTGGGGAGAAGCCCTACGAGTGCCGCCAGCGGCTAATCTTTGAGCAGACTCCAGGTCTAACAAAGCATGAATGGACAGAAGCCCTCGGCTGTGACCCATCTTTGAATCCAGAGGAGAGAGCTCACCGGAGCGACAGGCCTTTCAAGTGTAATCATTGTGGGAAATGTTTTATTCAGAGCTCGCACCTCATCCGACACCAGATAACTCATACCAGAGAGGAGCCCCAGGGACGGAACCGGCGACGGCTTGAGCAGTCCTTTAGCCGGAGCTCTCACCCTGGCCGCCATCAGCACACACACTCAAATGAGAACCCTGGGGGCGGAACAAAGGCAGGACAGCCTGCGAACCGGGCGCTTGCATTGTTCGACATCCATGAAATCATGCAAGAGAAAAACCCAGTTCACGTTATTGGGGTTGAAGAGTCTTCCATGGGTGCTTCCGTGTTATTCGACATTAGAGAATCCTCATAGGAGAGGAGCTCTACGGATGACTTTTGAACCACAGGTACAAAACGGTGGTAAGTCCACACAGTGCATTCATGGAAAGGGGTCTGGGGGTAGAAATGTCTAAGGCGACCTCTGATTTCTTAAGAAAATGGTGCTTTGCAAATACCTGAGTTTGATGGTTCTCAAATCTGTCAAGCCCAGTGCCCCCTTTAACCATAGATGTTTTCTGCTGTCCCCTCTATTACTCCGAAATGAATTCACAGGTAATGTAACCTACACACGTGTACTGTAAAAAATCGATCTACAGTTCCTTTTTGTAGAGCATAATTAAAACAAAAGTAATTATGGTAGAGTAACGTGTACTAAGTGGGTGCAGTATCTTTCCATGTGACTGTGTGGGCCATTATGCTTGTACATCTGGGGTGTTGGCTGTTGTCATCTGGTATATGGGATACAATGTTGGCCATGGAAATACCTTGACGGGCATTCCTGTATGGGATGTGATTTTCTTAAGTGGTGACTAACTCTTGCAAAAGTGGAACAAAACAAAATGCCACTGTATTTCTGGAAAATTCTGTAGAAAATTCTAAGCATGCAGGAGTTAATATGTGAAGTTGACTTAGGATCTCATTTCAAACTGGTTGTTTCACACATATACATACAGGGTCTGCAGGGGCCTGTTCTGCATGTCACAGTCATTAGAGCACATGTGGCCCCCATGTATATGTCGGCTGCATTCATGGCCAGATCAGTGACCAAAAAAGCCCCCGTGAAATTCTTCTACATTCCCTGGTGGTGTCACAGCTCCTACTGAAAGCCATTGCCTTGAAACTGTCAGTGTTAGGTAAGCCAGAGGTTCTCAGTTGGGGTAGATTTGTCCTCCAGGAGACATTTGGTGATGTCTAGAGACTTTTTGGTTATCCTAACTGGCAGAACAGAGGGGTGCCACTTAGCAGCTAGTGGGTAGAGAATGCTGCTCAACATCCTATATTGCCCAAGACAGGCCCCCAACAAAGAATTATCTAGCCACAGATATGCCGAGGTGGAGAAACCATACCCAGCACTACAACCAATTTTTTCCAGACTCTAAATTGATGAAGGCTCTACTAACAATCCCATGTCTTCGATTTTAACAAGTGATATTATTAATTGATTTATACACAAATGTTTCCTAGTAATTTTTTTGACCGTTTTGCCGCATTCCTAATTGGTGTGAGAAAAGGAAGAGAATCTACTTACTTTTTTTTTTTTTTTTTAAGATTTTATTATTGGACTGAGAGAGATCATAAGTAGGCAGAGAGGCAGGCAGAGACGGTGGGGGGAGCAGGCTTCCCGCTGAGCAGAGAGCCCCATGCGGGGGCTCGATCCCAGGACCCTAAGATCATGACCTGAGCTGAAGGCAGAGGCTCAACCCACTGAGCCACCCAGGCGTCCCGAGAATCTCCTTTTCTGAGTAATCTAAATTTTAGCATTTTACCATGGACATTGTAAAACATGGATAAGCCCCACTTTTGACCATTCCTCCTGCCTGTCGTGTGGGGTACAGATTTGGGAGTGGTCCACCTATCATTGCCCTCTGGCGAGGGGACACCCAGCAGTAACTTCATGGCTCTAGACACCTCTAGAAGCCAGGCTTGTAGTTGCCCCTTTCCTTCCACCTTGGTCCCCAAAATGGCAACTCCTGAAGGGTCATGTTTCCACAGCCTCAGTATTTGCTGGGTGGGCTGAGGTTACAGTGGCCTCAGTGGGTAAGGTGGAAACAAGTTTGTCACTTGCCTTCCTCTCCAGACAACAGAGATCTTTACAAATTTTCTATTTCTCATTTCAGGTTACATTTTCTAGGCATAATAGTCCTACTCATTTCCATACAGATATCTTGAAACAGTCAAGTAAACTCGTCAGGGGAGGTTACTGTAAACTACAGAATACCTGGTTTTATCAGTTTGTAAAAGTGATGTAAGTTCTTCACTGCAAACGTGGAAAATGCACAAAAGTAAAATTTAATTCCTCATACTTCTGCCCAGAGATGGTCACTACCATTAAGATTTTGTTAATTTTGGGGTGCCTGGGTGGCTCAGTGGGTTAAAGCCTCTGCCTTTGGCTCAGGTCATGGTCCCAGGGTTCTGGGATCGAGCCCCGCATCGGGCTCTCTGCTCAGTGGGGAGCCTGCTTCCTCCTCTTTCTCTCTGCCTGCCTGTCTGCCTACTCATGCTCTTTGTCTGTCAAGTAAATAAATAAAATCTTTAAAAAAAAAAAAAGATTTTGTTAATTTTCCTGAAACTTTTTCTTAAAAATACACACATATACATATAGTGTACACTAGATCTTATACACACAAAAAAATACAAAAAAAGTATTGTTGTGTTTAGAAAATTGGAATCCTTTCTAGTTCTCTTGTAACACATGCTTCTCAACTATATTTTGAGCATTTTCCTCTGACAATTTCACGTAGCTTTCATTTAAAAAAAAATTTTTTTAAGATTTTATTTATTTATTTGACAGATCACAAGTAGGCAGAGAGGCAGGCAGAGTCAGGTGGGGGAAGCAGGCTCCTTGCAGAGCAGAGAGCCTGATGCGGGGCTTAATCCCAGGACCCTGAGATCATGACCTGAACTAAAGGCAGAGGCCTTAACCCACTGAGCCACCCAGGCACCCCTTCATGTAGCTTTTAAATTACCTTTCAGGAGGATTGTAGCAGTGTGACCACCCAGCATTTTATCAGCCTTGACTTTTATCCAAAAGGGGGGGTGGTTCCTACACATTTCCAGGGAGGGTATAAATTGATACAGCCTCTGTGAAGTACTATTTATTACTTGCTATCCAAGATTACAAAAACACAACTCTTTGTCTCCGTAAACCTGTTGAAAATCCAACAGGTTTATTTGTATGTTGTAGACTGAACATGGTCTCACTGTGGTATTGATTTCAGAAGTAAAAATTTGTAAACAACCTCAGTGTCCACCATGGGGAACTGCGTTAGTGTTTTATGCTGGAATGGAGAACTACACAGCTTTAAAATTGGGGACTGTCTTTATGTAATCTTAAGGGAAAGAGCTCCAAGATACATTGTTAAATGAAAAGGTGAAATAAGGTGTGCAAAGTATGTTTCCATTTGTGTAAAAAAACATTTGCTTATACATACACACACACACACACACACACACACCCCCCTAAGGGTACAAAGTAACCAGGCCTACTAGTTGCTCTTGGGGAGAAGAACTGGGGGGAAAGGGATGAGGAATAATTTTCACTCTATATCTTTTGATATTTTTGGAATTTTGAAACATGTGAAAGTATTACCAGTTCATAAAATAAATTTAAAAATCTCAACTCTTGCAAATTAAAGTAAGTTTGATCATTGGCTTCATTTTCTGTTACACCTACACACACACAAAATTCTTAGCCACACTAAGCTACACACTAACTCAATGCACACGTCTGAGCATTGAGATAATGGAACCAGTTAAGTGTAAATAGCTTTGACTCCATGAATTTTCCTGCAAGCTATAAACTAGCACCTAAATTTTAGTAGCACATAAATTTTCAAGTTATTATTAAATTCACTGTATCAGCCCAGATTTTGAGAGCCCACTCATGAACGAGCCAAGTTGCCCATTTTCTTGTACATCTTCAGCAATATTCAAGTTGTTTGTGCAAAAGATAACTGGGAAGGAATCTGCGTCCAGTCTGAAAAACAGCCAAGTTGCCCATTTTCTTGTACATCTTCAGCAATATTCAAGTTGTTTGTGCAAAAGGTAACTGGGAAGGAATCTGCGTCCAGTCTGAAAAACAG